GACTGGAGTTCAGACGTGTGCTCTTCCGATCTAATTTTTGATAAAAAGTAAATTTTCAAAAAAAATGACGTTTTGTGCGCGGTGCGTATTAAACTCCATACATCGTCCAATAACATTTATACCAAATTACATTTTAATTAAACAAATTTTAACAATTTTCAATAAAATGACGTTTTAATCGGTCATATTGAATCGGCCATTTTTAAATAAAATCACGACTTTTTAGAAAATAGCCACATAATTCATCTTTAAGATAAACTTAGAAAAAAGTCTATATCTTTATTTTTCTGAAAGATATGAATTTTTAAACATTGGGGAAAAGAGGCTTCAACGCAGGTAACACGGCAATTTTAAGATAGGATGTGCTATATAAATGAAAGACGTTTGAATAAAATTATAAATAGTTTTATAGAGTTTTGAATCTGACGCGAATTACAAATCATTTATAATAGACTTTACTTTTCATCTTATTTTCATTTTATTTTAATTTGCAGATGAACAAGCTCGCGAAACATGCCGACACGTTGAAGACCAAGAGTGGCGATTTGAAAAACAACGTTTTTACAGCGAAGATCACGCTTGATAATTTGAGAAAAAACATAGGAGGTATGTAATTAATTTAATTTAATTATCATAAAAACTTGCTTTAATTATTGTATTACAACAATTGTGCTGTGTAAATACTTTTCGAATAATTTTTTTCTCTCAAATTCCAGATACAACTGCGGAACTCAATCAATATAGCAACGACAATAGGAGAATAGAAATCAAGAAGGCCTTAAAAACTGCGAAGGCAATCTTGAATTATCTAAAGTCCGTCGACATAGCCAGGAGAACCGCAGAAGTGGAAAACTTCCTTGAGTGAGTATTATATTTTTAATTGAATAAACAGTTTTAATAAATTTGGAACGAGAAAAGAGAAGGAACAAGCAATAATGTTTGAAATAAATAATTAATAATTAATTAATGTATTCTGAATTAATTAGCGATGTTACCGAATATGTGGCGTGGTTAAACTCACTTCATGACGCGACTGAGCCTTTGGCGATCGCCCAGGACGACGCTAAAGATTACGAGATAAAGTTGGACGATATGCGAACGGTCGTAGAAAACACCATGGAAACGCTGTTCAGCTACGACAGTTTGTACAATCGTATCAACGGGACATTCATCGAGGCCAAGAACCAGTGCGCTCGTATCGGGATGCTGCGCGACGAAACGAACGAAACGATCACCGATGGAAAAAAACTTATCGAAGAGGCACGCGGTTTACTCGTCGACGCGGAAAATAACATTCAAGTAAGTAGAGATATTTTTATATTTGTTTAGAACAATTTTTTGTAACAGTAATTATGGGAGAAATCAACCGAAGAAAAGGACGTGTAATAAATAAATTGAGTTTTTTAATAAATTATTTTATTAAATTCTTTAAATTCTTTTATCGACCACAAGCACTTAAAACCTCATTCTTAAATGCGATTTTCAGGATCTTCCAGGTTCACGGGAGAAATTAGCATACTGGACGGAGAAGCTAAGCATGAAGGAAGAACTTCTGTACCGGCTGAATTACGAATACGACGAGAAGTACGTGGTGCCAGCAGTGCAGCACGCGAAAAATCTATCCAGTTACGTCGATCAGTATGTCAGGTGAGCATCCTGTTAGCATAATTAATTCAATCGACAATTACATCGCATTAAATCCAAAACGAGTGACGTGTTATCTCGACGATAGCGAATGATATAATTCGTCGACGATTCGATAATGTTGTAACATTTTGTTGACTAGTTTGTTCGCCGAGACGCGAGATATTGCGGCCAGCCCTCTGAAGGCAAGCAAGGCCTACAAAAACATAGTGGACGGTCTGCAAGCGGCGAGAGCCACCGCACTGGCAGCCAATGAAATTGTCGAGGATGTACATAAGAAGGTAAACGATCATGCAATTCTCTTTGGACTTGGAACGTTGGCGTTTAAATTTTCCTCTTTACTAAACACTGAAGCCGATGAATTAAAAAGCTCTTCTTTTTTATTTTTTATATAAATAATTTTTTAAATTATAAATAAATCTGTTATATTAATAATTGAATCGACGTAAAATTAAATCTGTGACATTGTTATGCTTTAATTCACAATTTAACTTTTTTAAATCACGCATTAAATGTTTTAAACGCTTACAAAATTAAAGCATGATTTTTTTCCGTGATTTACATATCATTGCGCTATCAATAGATTTACATATATTACTAGGTGTTTGAAAATAAAAGAGTTTAATTTGAAAGAATTTGTCAATTGTATTTAAAATAATTATTCAGCTTTCATTGTTTTTAAATTTTTTATGCTGTTAGTTATATTAGTTATGGTTTTATAATTTTGAAAGTCGGCTATAAATATAATGTAGATGTTTTTTCAAGGTTTTCCCTCCTTTGGGACAGAAATCGTTGCTGGATAATTCCAAGGAAGTATTAGCCAAGTCTTCGCAACAGTGGGAAGTGGCGAAGCAGCACGGTAAACTAGTCAAAAACGCGAACGCCAAGTTGGATGCTCAGAGACAAGCCGTGCTCGTGTTGAAAGATACGTTGAACAGCACTGGGATAAAGGACAACGAGATAAATGTGAAGCTACGAGAGTTGCAGAGTAATAGTAAAAAATGTAAGTATATCAGATTGTGTTGTTATAATCGTAAAAATGCGGTTGTCGAATAAAAGAGGTTTTAACATCGTGATATTAACGAGAATTTTTTTTTTAAACAGTACATGAGGGTCTACTGGATATCTCGGAGGAGAACGACGAAGTAGCAGACTCGATAAAGAATACGCAACGATTGATCGACGATTACAAGCAAGGCATCGCCAACAGGCTGAAGCCGAAATTGCACGAATTGAAGCGCGAGGGCGATTCGAAGATTGGCCTCGCCAGTGAAAAGCGTAATATTTCTTTTTAAAGTTAACGCGTGTACTTGGCGAACATTTTAACATTTTACGCAATTGCTAAATAATCCCATCGTTGATTAATCGTTAAATTAAATATTGCGTGAAAATTGCATTCTATTGTAGAAATATTTGTATTTCAGTGTCAGAAGCACTGAGCAACATCAAGAGAGCCGATGCAAAACTCATAAGCCTGTCGAACGTCGCGACGAAGCGAAAAGCTGTTTTTGACAAGTGGAACGACACGTTAGCCACGAAACTGCAAAATCTCAAAGACAAAATTGCAGAGGCTCGAAATACCGCCGAGGGGGTAAGAACAATAATTATTTTTCTACTCGCTCAGATGTATTTTTGCAAATTAAAATTAAAAAAATTGATTCTCCATATATAAATCTTTTTGTTATTACCATGTATTATTTTTTTTAATTATATATCTTTGATATTATTCTTAATTTAATATTAGAAAATTTGTAATAATTATATTATGTGATTGATAATTTCCGAGATAGCAAAAATATTCAATAACTAAGATTGAATGATTGAATAATAGATAATTTTTGAGATATAAATTTTAATATTTCTTTTTTTTTTAGATTCGCGTTTCTCTGCGATCGGTGGAGGGTAAGGAATGTATCCGTTCGTACAGACCAGCGATGCTGCAACCCTCGTCAACGACGTCGATCGTGATGACATTCGCGCTTCCAACCACGCGCAAGGAGGGTTCCCTGTTTTACTTGCCCAGTGGAATTAATGTACGTTCTATGGTAACAATATTAATTTAGCGATTAGAACAATTAACTTTGTGCCTAAAGAAAAATAAATAAATAAATTGTATAATGTACTGTGCGGTTTAAACTTAAAGTTCTGACATTTCGACTCTTTTCAGGACGATTTTGTCGCTTTAGAGATATTTGACAGAAAAGTGCGATTCCTGTGGAACGTCGGTGGTGGTACAGGCGTACTAATACATCCTGAGGTCCTCGAAAGCGGCGATCTGCAGAACGACAGATTTTGGTATCGAATCGAGGCTGAAAGGTGAATGATAATTACGTGTACATAAAATTAGAATGAATATAATTAATATATAAATAAAAAAAATGTCGATTGAAATTTAATGATGTATGAAGAGCAAATAATTCATAGACTTATTTAATTGAACAGAGAAAGAAGCTAATTTTAAATAATCTGTTTCTTCTTTAGAACGCAACACACGGGCAAGCTGAATGTGCACAAGCAGTCTTCAACGTCCGGAAAGTATCTCCCTGTCATTAACTCGACTAACTCCGAGTATGGTCGTTTCGACGTTCTGCCTACAGACCGTGTGTGGATAGGAGGTATCCCTAAGTCGCAGAGAAGACCGGCGGAACTGATCGCCGGCAATGGTCTTCCGGGTTGCGTTCATCAAGTGATCCTCGACGGTAGGCAAATCGGCCTCTGGAATTTCATCACGACCGCACCGGACATGGCTTGCAAAGCTTGCGTGGAAGGGTAATTTGCCGTGAACGTTATTAATTAAAGTTCTTTTTGGCGTTTACACTTGTTTTATATAAATTCTTTAATATACTTAAATTCTATTATTTTACAAGTTCTCTAACTGATAATTTAATAATGCAAAATATTGCTGTTTTTCTGTAATGTTATTTTAGTAATAATATCACACACACATTAATGTTACAGAGTGGAGGATGCGAGAGACGATGTAGCTTACAGTTTTAATGGAGAGGGCTACGCTGTGAGAAACAGAGTCTCGTCTGGCCCATATAACAAATATATGTTTGGAGTCTCGGTCAGTTTCCGAACGTACGACGAAAACGCGTTGCTGTTTCTGGCCATTAACGAAGATGTACGAATCTATTTAAATTTTCTCTACATTTAATACTTTAATATTGAGAAAATATGTTTATTGTATTAATTTATTGTAAACAGAATCAACACATCATGATATTCCTGCGAGAAGGCAAAGTCATTCTCCACGTCGGCTACGGCGGAAACGTTAGTATGGAGATGTCCTCGACCTACAAGTACAACACCGGCAACTGGACGAAGGTGGACGCGTTCCGTCAGTATCAAGTGCGCAAGAACATCGAGAAATGCAGCCTCAGCATCAGCGGCGACGACAAGCGAATCGGTGCACCCACGCCGCAGCCCAAGAAGGAGGATATCCCGGATCTGGCGCAAGCCAAGTACTACATCGGCGGGCTGCCACCGAGCTTCCGCGCCGAAAAGCTGATGTTACCCTCGCAGGTGTCGTTCCTCGGATGCATGGCCAACATCATAGTGCAAGAGGGTTACGATCCGATGGCCGAACAGTATTACGGCGTGGAATCCAGCTGCGGCGATAAGGTAAAAGTGTTATCTTATATTTCGTCTTCTAACTTATATTTTGAAATAGATTTAATTTTCAAACACTCCATTGGAACTTCTTTAGATGTGTAATAGTTACAATATTTTACGTGTCATCCAAATTTAAAAAATCTATTATTATTCTAAATCTATTATTTTATTATTTACAGCCGTTGAGAATAGTCGGATTTTATGGGGATGGCTATCTCGAGCACTCGGCGTTTACTCTGAGGAAGATCCAGTCTACATTAAGCTTCTCCTTCAGAACCATGCAAGAGGCAGCTATGCTTCTTCTCTCCACGTTCGAGGGCCGCGAAAACAGATTGAGCGCTAAGGAATCAGCGGACGTAAGGCCATTATTACAATTTAGTATCAATTAATTTCTTACTGTAAAAAGAATCATTCCAGTTAAAAGTTAATTTGCATGTACAATTTATTGGAAATAAACTTCATTTACGTATAGTATTGCAATTATAAAGAAAATTGAAATTAATTTGTCGAATTGATCTTTTCAGAGGAACAGCTATTACTCCGTGTGCATTTTCAACGGACAGGTGCAAGTTCTCTTAAATGCTGGCCAGGGCGAGCTTGTTCTCCAATCGAACAACACTTTCAACGACGGAAGATATCACACGGTCACCGTCATTAAGAAAAGAAAGGAAGTGGAGCTGAGAATCGACGACGCGTATCAGACATCGGGAAGGTTACGCAAGAGTATTCCGATCAAGGCTCCCGAATCGAACGGGGGACTTTTCTTTGGTGGACTACCGGCGCTCATCAATAATACCAAAATGGTCACAATTAACACGCCGCTATACGGCGCTATCAAGGATGTGATTATCAATGACGTGTAAGTCAGGAATCTGAACTAAATATTGCTCATAATTATTGGGAGACAATTAGACATAAATTCAATAAATTGTTAAAATTTTGACGCATTAAAATTATATTATATTTATTTATTTTAATGCGATCTAAAATATTTGTATTCATGAATTTATTTTATATTTTCAATTTGATTTTTTTAAATAAGAAATTATATCAGTTTGAAGGCACTTTGTACTTGATATGATTAATCGATAATTTATCATCTTTTTTAGAAATCTTCAATTCGACGATGCGGTTAATTTCGATCACGCTCTAATCGGTCGTCCCGGACCGAGCATGGGAAAAGACACGCCGAATTACGCGCCGTCGGCGTCATTGTCCCGAGGGATGTCCACGCAACCCGAGGGATGCCAGAAAGTGCCTTACTACTCGCTGGAACCGGGTGCCTTGAAATTTGGCGATAAGCCGCACAGTCATACGCAGCTCTATCTCAACTTCAAGAAATTCTGGGAGAAGAAATATGCGATAGAATTCGATTTTAGGACGTACTATCCCAACGGGCTGCTGTTCATCACTCCGGTAAAAAAATCCATATATTACGTAATCACGATTTTGCAAATTTATTCAACTGGTTTGAACTTGTTTATTAAATTTGTTAGTTGAACAGAATTCATTTCATAAGAATATTCCAATTTTTATAACACTAATATAGCTGTAATCATTTAATTATCGTTTTCAATTTTTAGTTGACTAACATAATCGTAGCCGTCTGTTATTACAACAAACGCATTTTTACAGGGTCTTCGATTGAAGCACTATCTGATGGTGCTTATTCGGGACGGGCAGCTTCTTCTGGTAGTGAAAAGCAAGCTGCGGAAGGAAATATTATTCAAGACGCCGTTTAATGACGGCAATTGGCATCACGTCGTCATCAGCCACGAGGAGAGGAAGCTCACCCTATTAGTGGACACTCAGGCACCGCGCGTTCTGAAAATCCCAAGGAGGATCGGTCTCGCGTCTATGATGTACATCGGTGGTCTGCCGGAAAGCGGAACGCCCATCCCGGAACAAGTGGTCGTCAGATTGGAGACACTGAAGGGATGTATCAGAGGCCTGAAGATCAATGGAAACGTCTACGACATGGTGGGCTCCACCAGCAGGGCCTTCAACGTCGGTCAGTGCTTCCCGAGCGTCGAGAGCGGAGCGTATTTCCAGGGCGAGGCTTACGCCATTTATCGTAAGTCACGAAACTACTAACGAAACTATGAGAAATTTAAAGAGAACGTTTAAATCTTGCATGTAAGGCAAACAGCTCAAATTCGAATCGTATCATTTTTATTTAAATTTAAAATTTAAAGTAATATGACTTTTTACTACAAAACGTAATAAGACGTTTTGATTAACGATGCACAAGATATAAAATAATTGCATTTCAATATCAAGAAACGTTGAATTTATTCTTATCCCGCTTTGAATCTTCGAAGTAATTTTACGTTCTTTTAGGAAACAATTTCGAGGTGGACAGCGTGCTCGAGCTTCAATTGGAATTCAGAACGTCGGAAGTGTCCGGCGTGTTGCTGTCGATTACCGCACCCAGTGGCTCGCCCTCTCTGTCACTGGAGCTCAACGGCGGCAAGGTGATCATGTCGGGCGACCTGGGCGACAATAATCCGCTATACGTGGAGCAGGTATTCGCCAGTCACTACGCGATCTGCGACAATCGATGGCACAGGATCCAGGCCGTGTACAACGACGAGGAGCTGGCGCTCAAGGTGGACGAGCTGGACCAAAGATACGGTCTGCCCACGAACGCCAATCATCACTTCAACAGCTCAATCTTCTCCGGCCCGTTGTACATAGGCGGTATACCAGGTAAATGAATGTTGCGTTAAATTTATACATCGGTATGTGCGTAAGCCGTGCACGATAAATGAAAAAGAAACGTGAAAGTAGCTTAACCAACAAGTAGCTTAACTGCTCCGTTTTTTTTCCAGCGACCGCTCAGAAAGGCTCGCTGTTGACGCGGGACCACTTCAACGGGTGCATCAGGAATGTGATGATAGGGGGGGAAAGGCGGGATTGGACGGACATGGCCGAGCTGCACAACATCCACCTGAGCTCCTGCCCGGTTCAATGATAGCGGGGCATGAAGAGGAAATTACAATATTACCTCGGCGCTCGGCGCTCTTTAGTTCCAAAGACTGCTCGGAGGAGTCGCGTTGGGTTCAACAATCGCACCGGGATTAACGTGCCATATATTCGCAAGCGACGAGCTCTTTAAGACTTAACAAAAAGCCAAAAGATGCTAAACTGTAGACCGTTAAGCTAATCGTCGTAATGTGAAGGTAGGAAACGAAACGAAAGGGAGAAGAGACCGTGTACGCGTCTCGCTCGTGACAGACAGGAACGATGGCACGAATAATTTTGTCGTGACGCACGCGGGTACGCGTATACCGCGTGCGGACGGTGACACTTTACGCGAGACCACTGCCATATATAGTTTAATTACTCGCCGTAAGCTGCAAACAATTTGTACATCAGTATTTAAAAGCCATTATTTATTATCGTTAACGTGTAGATCCGATCGCGAGGATTGTCGCGATCGGCCGCGTCGACGAGCTAGCGAATAGAGAATAACGCGATTACTTGTTTTGTACTTTTATAGTTAGGGCTTCTACTGGAGCCCGCGACACGTATGTACATTGTAGATCTTTTTTTTTTATTCGAAAGATTTCACGAGAAATGCAAGTGCCCTGTAAAAAAAAAAAAGTAGTCCTTCAATCACGCACACGGAGAGATGATGTTCGAAGAATATTTTATATCTAATCTTCACTCTCTCTCTTTCTCTCTCTCTCTCTCTCTCTCATACATAACACACGCACACGACTTTTGTTGAATTGTAATATATTACATATACACAAGGAGAAAAATTAACAAACGACGAAAATCCGCTGTTGTGTATAAAATATATAATATAACAAGAGAAAAAAGCGCATAGGGCGGGCTGTGTGTCGCTTTGACTTATCCTCTAACGCTCCTCTTAAAAGTCCCTACAAAGTGCCTCAGAAACTTTAGACGCATTTATAAAATTTCACAATGCAATTTTACCTTTCTTCGAAACGGGGAACACATTATTGAATACGAAGAAATAAAGAATTCTGAAGAATTAGGCATCGAAGAGATAAAAAGATCTCATTTACGCGAACAGAATATTAACTTTAAGACGTTTTATATTTAAAAATCGAAGAAATTCTCGCAAAGAGAAAAATCCAGATCTCTCAAAGAAATTTGCTACTGAGGTACGATCGATGATGCATCCGTCTTTGCGTATACCCATATTCGCGGAAGAATAAAAGTCTATTACAAATGGGTTATTAAATTTTATTAATGACATTCGCTGCGAAGATGCTAACAGTAAATTATGACCCAAATCTTACATGACGTACTGAATAAATATACATATCGTCGAGTAGGTAGGTATACGTTTTTTTTTGTTCGTTTTACGTGTATATAAAAAACATAATATTTACATGAGAGACACGGATAGAAGTTCGAGAACTGATATTCGCCTTGAACGTCGAAATTTCAGCGACAATAAAAATCGATAATTATTACGTAACAATAATCGTTTATTATTATTAGTAAGCGCGATTTAACTGCGGCGTATAAATTTACGTCGTGCCGCAGTATTCAATTGTTGTGTGTATGTGTGTGTCTGTGTGTGTGTGTGCCTCGATTTCCCGTCTCTCTTTTTCCCTTCCCGTCTCAGTCCATCCCATTTTTTTGTCCATGTTTAATTGTCGCATCCAAGTCTTCTTTTTCTTTTCACCAGCTCACTAATAATATCTATTCTTCAAAAAATATAAATATCAAGCATAAGCGACCAATATCGAGAGATCTCTCTTAACGTCATCCTAACTTTGTAATCAATCCCATTTCCACAAGCCATTTATTCTCGCTGGCTCTTAAAATTAATGACTATGTATAATATATATATATATTTATATATATTTATATATAATTGCAATCAATTCATATATCTCTTTCTCTCTCCTTCTTCACTCTTCTCTCAAACATCGTCGCAATGGACCTGTCGCAATTTTCACTCCATCTCAAAGATCTCTCTTTTTTTTTTCTCTATGGCGCGTATCTCACGTTCGATATTGTCAGGTCGGACTGTTTCTGAATCTAAGATTCTCTACCTTATCGCTCTCTCTCTCTCTCTTCTTTTTCTCTTGCATCATCATCGTACTCGGATAAATTTACAACAGACGGGGATATAGAACAGTGAATCTCTCTCTCTCTCTTTCTCTCGGTCATTACATCTCGACGCAGTTTAATCTCACAAATCCCTTTCATTACACGTGGTCGTACGGCGTAGACGCGGGACGGTGAGGCCAAGCTGTGACCGTGACGTCCCACGCGAATTAAAGATACATAGATTAACTCCTCCGCAGTTTCAGCTTGCCGGAGAAGCCTCGATTTCGATATGTCGCGTTGTATTTGTTAATTGTAATCGTTAATAATCCTGTGTACGTTTGCGTTACGTCGTGTCGCGGAATATGGAGGGTCTATCTGTACACTCGGCGCGACCGTTCGCATCGAGTCGAAGACTTACATCGTACAAAATAATCGGAGAACGATCCTGGAGGCGTCGTCCACATCGTGAACGAGGATCCAGGACCGAAGGGAAAAAAAATCGTACAAACACGATAGACCCCCGATATTGTCGTATAAAATGTCTACTTGAAAGTCTACCTAGCTCTCTAGCTTCTCTTCTCTTCCCTCTAGAACAATTACAATGAAAGAAACGTGTCCGACCGAAAAGGCCCGTTCAGCGAGATAGGAAGCCGATGCCAGTCCCACGCGAAGAGCGAACGTTCGAATTTATGGCACAATAAATTATAAACAGTTCCTCCGATAAATTACGGCGCGTCCGCGGCGTGCACGCGTGGACCGCCGCGTTCTCTGTTCGCTCGGACTGACTGAAAAGTTTCGCTGAGAGACGGCGGAGGGTATATATATATATATGTCGCGGTAGAATCGTTGGGGGGGGGGGGGAAACGTATTGTGTACGGTGACGAGACACGATTGAAGAAAAGTCAAGCTGTCAATTCGTTAAATGTCTTTACGCACTTAGTCCAATTACATCGTTCATAACATAAGGCTTCATACTGTTTTCCTTCTCTTTGCTTCTGCCGAGGAAGGCGGAACGTGGCTGGAAAATTCTTACGAGAGTCGTGTCGGGGAAAAAAGCGCAATTCCATCGATAAAATTCGCGATTCAGACGCGCGACGCCCATCTTCCACCTTCCTCTCAAAACGATAAAAATTGAAGCGCGTTCGGGAGGAGATACGCATATAGCACCGCGAGCCTCCCCTTTCCGACGGGTCCTTCGACTTTGTCCGCGAGGCAACGATAACATCACGCAAATATCCCACTCTCTGTACACAATGATAACTACCTAATCCGTTGACGAAACACATCGCTCGCGCGTTAAAAACAGCCGCTTCTGCGTAAACTAATTGCGCATATTTCGCACGCGGTTTTGTTTCTTTTTACAATACAAATTTGAAACGCATAATGTCGCAGCTCGAACGATCGTCACTCGCAAAGAAACGGATTCAACGTATGTGCATCATACGCCCGGATTTAAGGCTGGTCTTACACCTAGCTCCAAAGCTAATCACGCAACGAACTGATTTATTTACAACGATGAGCTATCCGTCGCCACCCCGTTGGCAAAGGTTTCTTTCCCCGCGGAGGTGAGGGGAGGGACACTGCAAGAATCGCGCTACGCGTTACAATCGTCAACAGCCGCGAGAAACGTACGCAGTATGAGAAATCATTAATTCAACTCCGTTTGAGCCGCGTCGCGAACACTCCCGCCGACGCGTATCCAAATCGGTAAAATGTAACGAACAAGTATATGTAAAAAAAATTTTTCTGATTAAAAAAAAAGAAATATAAAAAAAAAGAAAGGACATCTTTTGCGAGGTTGCATGCTACTGTACAAGAAAATAAAAACGAGTTCGAAGTCAGTAATTTGCGTACGAGATCTAAAAAAATTAATGATCCCTCACATGTTCGCGCGTTATCATCATACCATAATATAATCTTTAAAAAGTTTCAAACGCACTAAATATGATAATCGTTGAATAATTTAGAATATCTAGCCTAAGCGAAGGATGGAAAGAGACCTGTGCGAATCGCAAATTGTGCAAGCACGCACGAGAACACAAGCTGCACCGTTGCCATCCTCCTTTACTCTCTCGCTTTGTTTTCGCGAAAAATAAATTTAGAAAAAAAAAGGAGTCAACTTTCGCATAAATACATCCGTGAGAGTCGTACGCCCACGCAGTCGCAACACAGCGGTTTACACGATTACAAGGCGGTTACATGACGAGAGTTAGTCCGCAAAAATTAAGGGATCTTAGAGGGGGTGTATTGACAACAAACCATTCTTATAAGTAGATACTGGTAATCTTATGACACAGTGATTGATGCTGACGCTCAACGAAAAAAGAAAAAAAAACGGATAAGAAAAAGTAAAACAAAACACATTCTCTCCCTCTCTCTCTCTCTTTCTCTCTTCGATGGCCACGCTCATCCCCCGGTCTTTTCCACCCCTTCAGAAGCGGCGTGCGAATCGAGCCGCGACCTGTGATTATTTCTCTATGGGGTCAGCACCGATCAATTGTCCTTATAAAATTGACTAAGAAACGCAACGTATTCGCATTAATTTAATATGGGCCTGTATTAAAATAGTAACTATGAACAACAGAGGGCACAGTAGCGTAATGTTAAGTGTGTGACCACTTATGTAAAACTATATGACGAGCGGTATGTCCTTCTTGTTCGGCAAGTTCACCTTTTTACCCTGCCAGAGGCTGTTGTGTATCGTGAAGGCATCTATGGTCACCGTCAGATGCTTCGTGTGAACTTGCGAAAAGCATTTCCCGCTGGAATTGTATCTGGAGATAAAAAAAGAGATGGCGAGTCAATAACGTGCGATGCAACGGCAGGCTTATAGAGATATAAAATTGATCAAAATTTCAAGATAGGGAAAAAAGAATGACGAATTAAAAAAATCGACTCTTGATTTCGCTTACTTAAAAAACTTGTCGAACATATTATCGATGACTTGTTTGGGCCCAGTACCGTACAGCTTGGCTACTTCCTCCCTCTCGGGACAGTACGAATAGAGAGCGCGGAATTGGCAGCCGGCGTCCCGAAACAGGATGAGAAAGTGTTTGCTCTCGGACCGGCCGATCTCCTCCAATACCCTCGATTTGGCTTCCCTGTTGACCGTGCCGGGGAAGACGCAGTACTCCACGGCGTTCAGCATTATATTGCGATTCGACTTGGCTATCGGCAGTTTGTACAGTCTCGGGCCTGTTGCAGCGGATGCCATAAAATAAAATGAATTAGTTTTTTTTTTTGCATAAAAAAACTTGGCGACTATCGAGTAGCGTCTGCCTTCGAAAATGATTTTATTAAAATGCCTCTTACCGTTGTAGTCCATCATGGAACTAGGCGTGCTGCTGATGTCGCTGCTGCCGTCGTCGTAGATCCTCTTTTTCGATGTCATCAGGGCGGGCGGCAGCGAGCCGGGGCCCGAGGGTGACGTCAGATGCCTCATGCTGCCTATACCCGGACTGGCGGCGCGTCTCGGAGGCGTCGATCTGCCCAGGCCGCTGTCTGAATCTGTATGTCGACACACCATACAATCGTGATCACTACTTGCGCCTGCGAACCGCATACGAAGATAGAAATCTCAACGGAGAGGCGAACGTCTCTGCGTTGTCTTATTAAAGGACAACGACTGTACATCTTTTTTTCTCTTTTGTCACCCAAGCGATAACGAATCAGAATACAGAGAGACCTTTCGGCTTTTATTATTAATGATGGTTAGCCACCCCGCCAAGAATGTATTAGTCACTTGTTACAGGCGTGCGAGATACCTCCCTTGCCTCAAGTTCAGCTTCGTAATTCGTGTCTTTTTATGCAAAAAAAAGAATATATATTTTTTTATAATATTTACAATTATGTTATAATCTGATAAAAGAATTGCAAACGCTTGTGTCTATCAGCTTGTTAAATCGCTGACTGCACTAGAATGATTCTATAATGTACGTGTCATGATTCTCTAGCGTATACTAATTATCAAAAACTGAATATCTCGATCAACGCTAATGCGATGATGGCTTAGTTTCAATGATTTACTTCGCGAGCTTTGCGCTATGCTGACGAAACGTACGATCGATTTATCGAAACATTACATTAAATAAACAGGACATATAGCAAGTTCATCCACACCGAGCACGTGAGTGCTCCGCTCACACAGATCACACATCGCGTTCACAATGAATTTGCTATACCTCGTCGCCACGACACCTGGAAATAAGAAGTGAGGGGATAGAGAGGCGGGAGCGGTAGGATAAACCTGGGACCACCCGGGTACGAGTATCGGGAGGGTTATTATAAAACGGATATCACAGCCACCGATAGAATAAATCTGGAAAAAGACACCGATCGACAAGATATACTTTGTACCGACACCCAGTGCTGTACAACAAGCCCAAATAAGCTTCAATCGAGCCTTCTCTACGCAGCAGCAGCAGCAGCGGCAACAACAGCGAAAATGAGTCTTCCTAAGAAAATGAGTGAACAAAGTTCCACCTCAACGGAGGCGCCGATGAAACGAAGAAGCAAAGAAATCATATATAAATCGTGCGTCGTGAAGCACGAGAGCACCAAGACTCCGTCCCTTCGTCGTCAAGCCGCGTCGGGGGAACTTTGCTCAAACGTACAAACGAAAAAGAAAAAAAATGCATGTGATCTCGTTGTGCGCGTGTATGAGTCGTTAATTACCACTGCCACCTTGTGTGCTCTCCAGCCCTGCCACCATGCCACTACGTACACATATAGGTGCGTGTGAGTGCGCGTGTATGTGTGCTATTTGGTCTACAAAAATCTCAGGACAATGTGAGATAATAAATATATATAGATTATAAATATACACGGGAGACACATTGAGACTGTTGCACGATATAGAAGGGAGATCGAGCGTATTTCCAAGTCACTGTGGTGCTTCTTACCGCACAAATTCATCAGGGAATTAGACTTTCTCCCCTTAAAGTTTTGGTAAGTCTGGTATTTAGGCCTGCCTCTAACTTGTTGCTGAGACTCCTGCACATCTGCAATAACGCAATGTTTGCCTCGTTACACTCAAAACGCCATGTACGATCAGAAAGATTAAATAAGTTGCGGGAGAGAGATGCCTCAATCGTGCGCATCTCATCGAGGGAGCGAGCGGGGGGGGGAGACTTAGGGGGATGGGGGGAAATTTAAAAAAGGGGAAAATAAATAAACTACGAGCCATATCCGGGGGTACATCGAGAACTGAAGTGGCCGGTGCAGTTTTTTGGTGCAGAACAACGTTGCGTTCCAACTCAAAGATGTCCACTACAAGGCGCTACTTAAAATACAAAAATTGAAAAAAAATTTTTAAAAAATGTCGGGCGGGAAACAAGTCATACCCGCAAAGTGTTGTGACCTTGCTCACAGTTGCTCGTAGGGGGGGGGGATAATCAAAGGCTAATCAAACATTTAAACATTCATCGCGTAAGTTTTTCTGATATAGATTATAGCTGCCCATACCAGTGTGTGATACATCCTGCAATGAGTCTACTTTCGTCAAGCCAAAAAACGTTTAAAAAACGAACAATCGATACAGAGAGCCTGCGGCATTCCCGCGGTAAACTGTAAAGCAACATCGAACCCACCTCTGGAGGTCTTGTAGGAGCCGCGTCGACCGAGCTGATTCACGCTGCGGCAAGGCGAGGATCCCCTACCGTCGTCGGGCGAATCTACGGAAGATACTAAAAAAACGGGGTATCTCTATTACAATTCGATCTTTCAATTCTATTCATAGGTTTTATGCTACTTATGAATATATATATATATGTATATATATATAGCTATACCGAGTAAGTTCTCAGCCGCTTGCTACTCATTAAACATCAAGTTACAGATATCGAAAAACAAGATGACATGCCAAATTGAAAAACGGAAAGAAGTGCACTAAACTGAACGTGTTGTGAAAGAACACATTGTGAATTACGTAGACATCTCATTTTGTCAATTATTACTTCTCACAAAATTGAATTCTCTTTTGTGAAAGAGATTTTTATCCTTAAAGATTTTAATACCACTGTCGTTGTTAAATTTGAATTAACACTTTTCAATTTTCTTGATCTACATAATCTTGTTGCGCATAATATCTTGTTTCAAGTTCAGATTGATTCACAAAGTATTATATGTCGTTACTCTTTCTTTTGCTGTGTGCACAAGAAAATTAACTTATTTCGCGCAGATACTTATCCATATCCAGAATTTTTAAAGAAAGAAAATACTTGTAGATGTGTACTGTATAAGCGCGGTGAGAGAGTGTGTGTGGTGCATACCCCTGAGACTGCCGCCCCGATAAAGAGGGCCGGAACAACGTCGGTCATCGAGATGGGCAGCAGTGAGACTATCCTGCGAGCCTCGGTAGTAGTCTCGCCTCATCGTCGGAGAAGTCAGCGACGCTACAGTAAGTGTGTTAGTGCAAAAAAAACAATCGGCTCGGTATTTTCTGTACTATTCTAGTTTGGCGTCGCGGGACTCGTCGAGCGATCTATGACAGCCGCTGACGCGGCGATAAACTAGCATAGACGAGAAAATCTGGAGCCCGTGAGCATGTGGTCGGGGTGAAAATTCATAAAAAAAAAAAAGAATAAACCAATTATAACGGGAAAAGAAAAGAACAATTAATACAATAGCAAGAGACATCGCTAAAATTACGGAAAGAGAAAAAACGGCTCTGATCGTAAAAATCTTCGCCATGCAATGAATAAATGCAAATTACGGAAATATGCAATTACAACATCGAGGAGACTGTTGCTATTAGGGTATTATAATGGGGAAATGCACTTGCGACACAACAACTAAAAAGATCCATCTTCTTGGCGATTAATTCGAAAATAGAGATAAATTTTTCTGTCCTCCTTGCGGAGAACATGTTACATATTTTTCTCACATTCTATCATATCGTTTTTTTTTTCTTTGATTCAACATTAAATTTAATCCCCAAGAAGCATCGATCGTTGCGACAGATTATTCATTTTCTGCAAGTGCGACTTAACGGCAATCTCACCTGTACTTAAGTTGGAAGAAGAACCCTTCTTCCCGCGACTAGGTGTAAGAGCCCCGGAATCCAACACCGCGCCAGCGTCTCCGTGAATCGTTTTGGGCCGCGGTCGTGCGGATGCAGTCTTGTTACGTAATTTTGCTGGATTTATTGCATTCAGAAGCTCCTTGTCAATTACCTTACCCTAGAAGCAGCGATGAAAATTACGTTATAAATTAATTTCTAACCGTTTAATAATGTCATAACGTTAGAAATGTCACTTACCTCTCTCTCCGCTTCCTCTATCGCCTTCTTCACCTTATGGTGCTCCAAGATCGCGGCTCGCCGTTGTCGTTCCTCCTCTTTCTTGCGAGCTCTCTCCTCCGCCTTCAATTTCTCTCGTTCCCTACGTGCCTGGGACTCGACTTCCTTCCTCTCTTTCATTTCCTCCTGCCTCTGCCTTCTCTGCAGCGACATCAGCATTATCTTCTCCTTCTTCTTCTCCATCTCGTCCATAGAATTCTACGGAGAGTTTTGATTAGAACTTATATGTTAAAGTTTTGCAAGTAAAATTAAAAACAAAAAATGTGTAACTGTATGCAGAATTTACTGCTGTTTAAATGGCCAATATTGTAATACATACCGGATCGGGATTCGTGAGTTGATTCCCAATCACCAGACCAACTCCGGAAGCGTGTCGGCTGTCTGTACTGCTGTCTCGCTGTTTCTCCCTCTGTCGTTCCCTCTCAATTTCCCGTTTGAGCTCCCTGTCCCTCATTTCTTGCCTCTGCTGTTCCCTCTCGCCGGCTTGTCGCAGTCTTTCCCGCTCTAATTCGCGTTGAGCTTCCAATTGTTTCTGCCTCTCTATCGCGTTAGTAGGAGGCGATTCCGGGCGCACCGTGAAGTCCTCCTGCTCGATGTAGGACGATACGCTTCGTTCCTGAAGAAATAATCGATTGTTTCCTTTTTTAAGAAATACTATATATATATATTGTAAAATTCGATTCGAAGGGATACAAAACAGAGAAAGCAGTGAAATAATTAAGAGTAAAAATAAGAGAATATATATACAAAAATTTGTAATAAAAAAAATGCGCTCACCTTTTTAGGAGACGTCCTCTTCACTCTGAGGGTTGGTTTCGGTTTCTTGGGAGCGTCATTGTCGAAGGAGATGTAGAATCCTTTCTCGTTCGCGTCCGCGGAATCAAGAGGTGTGACATCCGGAGTGCCCGAACGCGACGAAGCCGTCTCCCTCAACGACGGGTGAGGTTGGAAGGAATTCTGCGATATCGTGGGTCTCGTTGGCGACGGTATTCTGTACGTGCGACTACCCGACGTGATGTTCAAGTTACGAATACCTTGCGCGATATCGTCGTCGTTGCCTTCAAAGTAAAAAAAAAAAGGTTTAAGACAGATGATTTTCATAACTTCTTTTACAATAATTTAGTAATATAAATTATATATGAAATATTATATATTACATAAATTATATATAAATTATATAAAATATTATAAAATATATAACATTATATATAATATATAATATAAAAAATATATATATAAATATGTGTATAAAATGTAACATTTTCATGTAATAAAGAGTTATAAGACAAAACTTAATTACCGATAAAAGATATATTTTGGGGCTTCATGTCATCGACAGGCGGAGCCGGTACTGGAGTATGCAAAGCTGTGACTTGCCTCTTCTCCGTCGGACTTTCACATGAGATCGGGATGTGATGTACAATCGACCTCTTCGGTTCGGGACTTTCGCTAATTAACTGACTTATTCGATGAACCTAGGACAGCAAAATATAATCAAATAAGATTACAAGATAAATATGTATCTCATTAATTCAATATCTTAACAATATTTTCTCACGCACAAATTGTACAGAATAGAATCTTTAAAAAAATAGATGACAAAAGGTTCATATATAGCAACACAAGGTTGTGTATAACACAAGATTTCTAGTGAGAAAATTGATATTTGAGGTACAGAAATAATAATATCTACGGAACACTGTCACGGCACCGTTGTCGCACAACATTATTTTCTCGCATAATTCAACAAACATTTTCTTTCCGCGTATCTGTCAAAAGCGCGACGCAAACGCATAAAAAGTAAGGTAAATCAGCCAGGGCGAACCTTAGTGAGGTAATCGCGCGACGTCGCCACGGCCGAGTCGAGGAAGTACATGTTTATTTAAATTTCAACAAGTCACTTCACAGGGAAGTCTAGAGGTGTAATGTAAATCTCCCGAGCCGGACGCGATCGTCTAGGCGCTAAGACTGCCCCAGTGTGGGTAGCGTCTGCCATGTTGGGTGTTAAGAACAAGCGTCTATAAGCGTGCATTACATCATCAACTGGTTCTCATGCATATACGTACACGCTCGGGGCCGATCCTTTGTATTGAAGTGACCAAATCGAGCTGATGATCGGCGGCGCACGCATCGCGAAGCGTTTAGCTATATAACTTTTCACTCACACAACAATCTCGCCGCTGAATGGGTGCAGCATACAGTCTCGCCCGTCTTTCTGTCTTTCGTAATAAATTGATGCAGTCACGTGCGCGCGTGCATTGTATGCAGAAAAGCCATTTAGTATAAATATAAATAGAATTGTGACGCGAGAGAGTGAGTGTGATAAATGACACTGTGGTAAAAAAAAAAAAGTGTAATCCTCGTCGATTCGGGGAAATCTATTTCATCGATAGGTGCGTAAAAAGAACGCGAGAAATCGACGGAAAGTAAAGTCACGGGAACACTTACGGTGTTACGATGTTGTGGACTAGCAGTTGTGGCTTGTGTTTGGTTGAAAAGCGACGAAGTCGCTGGAAAGACGCTGGTCGGGCCGGGGTGGCTCATTTGATTATTACACAGACTATGATCCCCGTTGAGGTACCTTGGTTCCTGAGTGTCGTGCAAAACGAATCCCTTTTGCGTCGGGGGTGGCGCGGCCCAAGTCCTCGTTGGATCCGCGTACATGCGCATGTCCTGCTGATAAGCTAGGAAAGAGACATTCAGAAAATAATCTACTGAAGCGTATTCAAATTAAAAGGGGGAAAAATTACAGCCGTTAATTCTCTAAAAAAGCAAACGCTGCAGCCAAGCTTTCCGGTCAAAGAAAATTACTTTGAGATTCGTGCAGCTTTCGAAAAATTTTCAATATCATATAATAGTGGCTAAAGAATATTATTAATTTATATATTAATTTATTAATATACGAGTATTTTATCAATACTAAATTGACAATATAGAGCTCGTTGTTTGTAACTATAAATTATCTATTCTTGTTATTATTTCATTTATTCTACATTAATTCAATATTACGTACTGGCAGGTTGAGGGCTAAACCGCGAATCCATAGACTGCTGGTAGCCCACCGCGGCCATTTCGTTGGCCAGACTCTGGGCGGGCGCCGGCTGGCCCCACATTCTCCTCTGCACTTGCGGCTGATCGTGCAAGTAGAACTGCGACTGCTGCGGATCCTGCAGTCTGGACGCCAACTGATTCATCGGTGGCATTCCGTAAGTCTGGAAGGCAAACGTTTGAGAAGGGACGGCTGACAGCGGCTGACTCGATGCGGGATGCGCTTCCGGCATACGCACTTGCATGTGCTGATGACTGAGACTCTGCAGCTGCTGAAGCTGTTGCTGCATCTGTTTCTGATGCTGCGACATCAGGTGCTGCTGCTGAATCTGATTCTGCTGGTTCGCCAAACGCTGTATGTCCGCTTGAATTTCGCTCAGGCTACTGTTCATTCTGCAACAGACAACATTTCGCGTGTCATGATACTCCACTGTGATTTCACTCGTAATTTTCATAGGCATGAAACAGTGAATACTAACTGCGTTATGGATTGGCGATATTGCTCGGGATCCATATTCTCGATGTCCGGAGTGCGTCTGGTCTCGATGAATGGCGCGTTACCGTCGTGCTCCAACCACTTGTGCTCGACGTCCCGCACATCCTCGCTAATTTCCTATATTCATTATCAGAGAGATGGAATGTCTCAGAAAGATATTACGATGCTGTGATTGCGTATTTGTGTATAGGGATAATGCTCGATTCTGTTTAGCGTTTTGTTTTTAAGTGTAAAAAACTTACTAATCATATTAATTGTAAAATAATTGGAATGCCTCTTTTTTGTAATTATGTTTAAAGTGTGTGCATGTACTTATTATTATACGTAGTATGTTTTGTACAAAAACGAGAAAAAAAGAGTAATTTACAAAATTAAAGTAAGTGAAACAGACGACGTACGAATCTACGAATTCGCGTATCACTGGGGCCTGCACTTGTGTCTTCATATATATAATATAAAATGTCTCATTATTTATGACGCTATTCACACGAATATTTACCCGAAGTAAGCACGAGTAAAACATGACGATAGATTTAATTTCTCAATTATTACGTTTGTAGTAATTGACGATCCACGGACGGATTCTTGATCCAGTTAAGGGCCGGAAACTTGGTGACACTATCAATATATGTAACATTTATCCGTCTGTTTGATCAATATCTTATGTAACTATGTCAAGGCTTCTTGGATTTCTCCAAGTTCTCCGGCGCTTTAATGCGAGAGGTGTTTACCAATTACAGGTGTCGAATTTTAATGGCTCGCCGCAACCGCCGTAAGTAGCAGCAGTAATTAGAAGAGCGGAAACTTAAGTTAAACTTTCGCAATATAGCTAATTAGATATCCGTTAGAGAGACATATTTACATGTAAAATTTGTTCTGTTAGTGGAAAAGAGAAATCGTATTAATTTATCAAATTGAATCTTAGTAGCCGTCACCGAACACAGATGTAAGTGTAAGTACATAAATATAGCGCTACTATATTTTTCCAAGGAGTGTTTAGTATTGCACCATGCGTGCCAGAGGAGCAACGAAAATATCCTTAAGTGGCTCCGCATATCATTATAAAATACGTCTGTCGTAGGCGTACATCTTGAGGCAAGGTTTCGTTTTCTTATAATGTAAAAGAAGCGTCAAGAAGCAAAATAACATGATCCGTTTATCAAAAGTAATCTTTGAAGGGGAAGGGGGTGGATATACAAAAGCGGCTATACATCTCGTAGCATTGTCACGCCCGTTTAGTTTCGCTAAACATCTACAGGGAAGATAATCACTTTCCTTACTGTGCTCTCTCGCTACAGCAGGGAAGAAAAAAAGAATCGTATGATCGATGTATCGAAAGCCATTCACATAAGCGCGTAATATAAATAATCTTCTAGAAAATAATAAAGATAAGTCTCTTAACGCGGGGGTTTCTCTGGCCTACACTGAAACACTTGCTGGTGATATATCGTACCTTGAGCGAGAAGGGTCTCTGTGGTTTTTCTTGAAGGGGTTGTTGGGGTACAGAGGACGCCTCGGAAACGCTCGTCGGGGTCGCCCCGGAAGATCCGGAGGTGACAGGAGTGGGGGGACCGACTGTCTCGGCCGGGCTCTCCCCCCCGGACGTTGACGAAGAGGGAGATTTAACCTTACCCTGCAACCAGCCCAACCAGCGTGCCTTGTTAAGTACTCAGAGTCCGCCACCAAATCACCACCAAACACCACGGTGCGGGAGTATCTGCCCGCGGCCAAAGGTCACGTTACATTCAAGCGCGATAAGTGCCAAAGCCCATCCAGAGTGGCTCGCAAATCATACTTAATTAAACAACAATAAACAATTGACTTAAACTACGAGCACGCAGTATTCATACTATCTCGTTCGGAATTGTAAATGTAAAAAAAAAAGAAAAGAAAATTAATCATGTGTATATGCGTGGATATATATATATATATATATATATATATATATATATATATCGTTTCTAAACATTAATATATATACAATTTCATGTGATATGTATAGTATTGATTCTATAAAAGGGTCATGATACTGATATAATCAATACAAAGGTTACACGCGATTAGCACCTTGACTAGTATATCACATTTAAAACGTTTCAACTTAAAACTTTCATCTATATTTCGTAATTTTCATACTTATAAACTCATTACTCTCTCTCTCGACGGAATGTGTTCATAAAACAGCATGCAGTGCTTTAAACAAGAATCTACCTTCCTCGAATACTTTGAAACTCAATGCATTCACAACTCTATCAATACTTTGGAGCTAAAACGAACGTTAAGAAAGAAATGAAAGATTACATTTAAGAATAAAAGAATTTATCCATGCGCAACTGAAATAACTGAATGATATTAATTGCTCGAGTTCCAAGATATATCGGTATCTTTTCAACAAGGAATAATATGTGCTATATATAAATAAAAATTGCTTAACAAACTTAAACTTAATAATTCCTGTTCGAAAACGTGATTCAAATAGAAATGTTCAATCCTGTTATAATGCAAAAATTTAGTGCGTCAGCATGCGCTTACCATCAAGTATAGCTGAAATGTCAGAAAGAGAATTGTGTTAAGACAACCATGGCAACCGAGATTATTTAAGGCGCAAACAAGGAGGAGATAAGATCCTACTATGTACAACCAAAGCGATCAAAACGATGATCTACACGATTAGGTCTAAATAAAAGATAAACATATGAGTTTACAAACATATTACGATCGTTGCCTGAAATTGAGCATTCATATATCTTACATCCACGTACTTTACCAATAAAATACTACAGATTCAACTGATGTACTTTCGTTTATATGTACAAGCAATATCAAACACAATCGGGATATAATTACAATCAGAAATATATATATATATATATATGACATGAAAAACGTAAATGGAAGGCGGAAGAAAAAGAAACTTTGTACTTTCTGAGATATAGTACACTCTTTGTACATACTATTTGCTCTATACTAAACACCCGTGCCTAGATTCGAAAAATAGCTGTCACACAGCATGGCAGATCTCGATGTTGTGTCCCGATAAAATTCACAACATTCCCCGTAATTCGTAATCAAGTTATATTATCCGTATCGTCCTACATCTTTCTCTTTTGTCAAAGGAGCAAATCATTGAAGTGATCTGACTATAACAATGATGTATATGTAGAACTGATACGCAGAACTGATGACGGTAATGATGTTCAAGTAGGTCAATGTGTATTATGCGATCTTCCTAAATTATGTTTGGAGTATAATCCCATTGTATAATCCATTGTATTTTTACCTTCGTGACCGCCTGCAGGAAGGCGGCCTTCCCCACTTTTTGCCGTTGTTTCGACATAACAACTTCCATCCTCCGCTTCTCGTTCTCTATGTGCCGTCGCTTCTCTTCGAGCTTCAGTCGTATATTATTCAGCTGCGAGGCCATTACGGTATTACCGCCGTTCTCATCTAACACCAGATTTTATTTTTTTCAGTAATTCCAGTTGGAGACGCGAATAGAATTAAATAATACATATTCTTGCCGCAAACTCAGTTTCATTAATGACACAGATGAATGCATGCGTTATCCATGACATTTTCTCTAATCAATTTTTCAAACTTCCAAATTTTTTTCTCCCACTTTAACAGCTTACCGATAGAATGTTGTTCCATCTGCTGCGACTGCTGGTTGCTCTGCTGCTGCCACGTGGTTGTGTTTGGCAGAGTGGCGAACGTCGTTTTCTTCTCGCTGTTCCCGTTGCCATTACTCTGGCCGTGTTTCCTGTTCAATTTAGCGTCGTCCTGTTCCGTATACGTGAAATTGATCCCTTTTTCCGAGCTCTGCCTACTCAGATTCGCGAAACTGGCAAACTTCGTGGGGGGGCCATCGCCACCGCCACCGCCACCGCCACCGCCACCGCCACCGCCGTCCGCACCGCTGTCGTTCTCTGCGCTGGAATGTAAGATTTGCCGGAGAGCGACGGTATCCAGGCTGCTGTTGGACGCCTGCCGTCGCAGCCTCGGCGGCTCCTCGCCGCCGCCGTAACCGTTGTCCGCGATTATGTGCTGCACGCCGCTGCCGTACACATCCTGAACGCTGGATCGCGCGGGCAACGTCGGCTCGGCGGCGGTTCGCTTGCCGGTGTGCGCGCTTAGCTCTTTATCCGGATTTCTACCAAAATTGTGTAAATTATCCTGGATAAAAGAAATCACTCGGTCACACCGCTTGTCCGCCTCGAGACAATCCTCCCGCGCTAAAGTCCTCCTCGTGCGACGACACGTCGCGCTCCGCGCGCGGCCAACATACCTGAGACCCGCCGAAGTTCTCGATGGTTAACTGGGAGTCGTCCGTGATGCTGTTCCGTCTGGAGCGACGCCCGGCGTAGGAGCTCCGTCGCTGTTCCTCCCAATTGCTCGGCCGACCAGCGGCTTCAGTTCTGCCGGACTTCTCATCGACTACGGAGCTCAGCGTGGGAATGCCTTTGCCGCGATGCACTACGAAATTCTCTTCGCTACCTGCGCGCCTGCAAGAGAAACTAAAAACTTGATTTCTACGAAATACATATATAAATTTTTTCAAACTTCCAACTACATTTGCAACATTTATTAACAAATTCTATAAGATAGCAGGCATATATTTTGCCTTGGAATATACTTGGAATATCCGTCAAACATGACGACGCATACCTGTCATCGTACGGGTGACTCTCGGCAGTCTGTTGCAAAGATTGCGACTTCTTCACAGTGTTGCTTGATGTTGACTTCGTAACTGGAAAGATAATTTAACGATGAATCGATTGCCTGTCCACATTTTTCATTTAATTGGATGAGGAGGTTCATTCATCACTCAGACTATATTCAAGAAGGAACGATAAGATGCTCAACAGATAATAAATTTACACTTTACGTTAAATAAAGCTTACGCAACGGATTATTTAAGGGCACAATGTGAAATTCCCATGTGAATTATTTCGTATTACCAGTAAAATGAATTCAATGTGAAAGAGTATACAGCGACGGAAGTCGATCGATAACGCAGGGGAATTTCGACTTGTGCAAATTCCAAGGATCAAAATGTTAACGGAAAAGTCTATGTCATACATTTTGAGAGGAAATATCCGTACGAAGATATATATACATATATAAAGTCACGCTACAAACTAATATTCTAATTCTCTATTTTTTGTCGTAGAGTGTCAAATCTGAAAATGAACAAAACGTAAAACAAACAGCACGGTACATGATAAATCATAAACCAAAATGGCACCATGGACAAAAATACGAATACAACGTCGCAACGTAATCGTACTAACTAAACATGGAGTGGACCTTAAATGAAACGACGACGAAGTTTCTCATCTTTCTCGCTGACAGTGACTGGGTAGCAGCGCATACGATCTCAAAAATCTCATGCAAAATCAATGTAAGATGAAAAGCCAATGAATCCAATGCAAGCGCCAGGCAGCCAATGATCGTGTCGCAAAGTTATGCGATTCACATGCAGGTCTGTTCCCGGGGAAGGAGGGAATAATATATATCTATGCTCTCACGATAATGATCATGAATGAAATGCAAACAATATGTGATTAGTAAAAAGCAGTGCTCCTCATAATTTCATGAACTTCACTAAGTGATTAGTCCAACGGGATCACGTGTTTCTTTTTAGTATTTAAAACGCAGAGTTATTGGTAAAACCGTACGTTATTGTCTTTCTCTTTTTTTTATAGATAAATTTAATCTCTCAATAACAATAAATTTTTTCCAAAGCAACATAAAAATTAAAATTTTTTTCAATATATGCACACTTTTATATCCAGAAATGATATGTTGATAAAGATTGATAAAACTAAATACTGCTATTAAATTCTAGAATTTAATAGCGTATCTTAAATAAGACATTAACGACAATTGTAGTTACAAATGTTATATTTTATTATGTTTATACACTGTTTATAATTGGATAAGTGTGCGTCACATTAAAAATTAACGTAGATGACCTAGCACATACATGACTGATAACGCGACAAGGCGACCATGAAGTCGTCGATCCCTTCGAGACACTCTAAAAAAAAAAAAAACGGCAATGCTAGTCCCGGGAACGCGAAAAGTAGACGACCACCTAGTAGACATGAGATTGATTCTTTGTGTCGTAACGTATGGATACCTGTGAAACCTGGCGCGGATATGGAGAGGTTGCTTCTCAGATCAGGTATCGGAGCTATAGACTGTGGCAGACTTCTCTTATGAGCTACGCCATGACTATTGCGCGGGCAGGCTGCACCCGTATCGCCGCGCCGTATCGTGTGGTTCATGGACAACCGGAGGTTGACGAAAGAAGAAGGCGAGGATAGCGTTGTCGTGTCAAGCGTCAAGAAGAAGTTACGCCATAGAAAATATACGGAAATATTACAGTTGTAGATTAAGTGCTGCGTGTGTGGAGGTTGTAAGTTCGTAAGTTTGGCTGGTAACATCATATCTCTTTGCCCGTTGCAGCGGCGACCTCATTGTTGTTCGTATTCGCAAAAAAGACCAATTGAATAATCGAATGGAAATAATATAATTAGTCGCTGCTCTCGGGGGAGGGGAAACCCGGATCCAAGAGGCTGGGATATCGAGTGTGTGTATTGACACTGATAAAAAGCGTGATACCGTTACAATTGCAGGCAACATTTCCTCATCGATATTCAGCATTGACGATTAATTTATTTAAATTATTTCACGATATTGAATTAATTCCATTAGTTTATAATTTAGAATAAAATTATTAAATATATATATTGTACATATAATACTCGCACGTTCCCTGCAATAGTAATGGGTTTTTCATGGAGGAAAATAATAAAATAAATAATAGAACGGGTATATAAAAGTCCAGTGTGTGTAAAAGTACAGCAGCCTCCACCAATCACATTTATCCACCACCAATTTTCACGATTCCTCTCTCTTTCTCTCGCTTTCGCTCTCATTGAGTCAAGTATAGCTCGGGTGTACCACATATTGTCGCGCAAATCTGACTTCTAATAGACAATCTCATTCCAGAAAAACGTCTACGTACCATCTAGGTATTGCATCGCCCGCTCCTCACCAGGATAACGAACGCATTTCGCCGGATGAATCTCCAGGACGTTGTACATATCAGTCAGAAAGACCACTAGATTCTGCTTCATCGATCTAAAAATTACGATGAGGATAATAAAAAGAGCAGGAACAGCTAATAATTATCTTTTCCAAAAAAAACAGCATATGCTGTACAAAATTTGTAAAATATTCATTATATTCCCGCGCGATACAATTTCGAATTTAATTTAGGCTAACGCACCCTCTCATATACGTGACGTCCTCGGGCTGCATGTGGAAAATCGAGTACGGCAGGCATTTGATGCAGAACGCGTGCACCAGGGATAGATTGTGCAGTGCGTCCGCTACCGAGGGTCTCTTCGACACCCTGATCTCCATCCAGTTGAGTTCGCCGGGACAGTAGAAAGCGACGACGGCTGCCAGGCCGACGCCGTCGCACAGGGACTGAAAGTCCTTGGCAGCGGGTAACTCGGGCAGCCGCGTCTTGTCGCCGCCACCCTCCTCGCTCTGAATCTTGGCGATTAGCGCGTGCGACGCGTGATTGATCCAGAGCAGGAGGCCCTTCTCGTGATCCGACGGTACATCCACCTCGGCCTGGGGGTCGAACCGTCGTATCGCCGAGGCCACCCGGTCCCCCGTCACCACCTCCTTCGCGTACAAGACCATCAGGCCTTCTATCACAGCCATATGCGCGGACTGTAACGAGATACAGATATTATTAGCATTAACTAAAATAATTTTATGCTATCTGTTGTAGTAAAAAAGCATTTATATAATAGGATTTATGTAGTTTCTAAAGATATCATGACGAGTACCAATTATATATTTCAACAATTTCAGATTGCCATTTCTTGACATTTGAATGATGCTCAAATGTCTTGGAAAAGAGGAAACATGCAACTGTAAGATACGTTACCTGTAGATACACTGGTAGGTAAGCTTACCATCTTGAGTGGTGAATTTTGAATGAGGATCGTTTCGGTGAGCTGAGTATTGTTCTGCTCCGCGACGTAGACGCCTTTCCTGGCCAGGGCTTGCAGGATCCCGTAGTGATTCTGGTTGTGATAGTTAGGATCCGAGTATATGTTGGCCAGCGCGAGGCAGTAGAGCTCCGCATTGGAAAGCGCGTGTACGATCTGCGGTTTCAAATGCTCTTGTTCCTGCAAACATCAAAATTTATCTCTAAAATAACAGGTATTTGTACGATTTAAATGCTAAATAACTGAATTTGTACGTTTGAATAATTGTGCGATTAATTAGAACAAAATAAATCTAGATTAATTAAAACTACATAAATTACCCTACTAATAAAATAGAAATACAATTAGAAATAATAAAAATGAAGTTACTTATCTAATAATAATAATATACTATTTTATATATAAGTATTATTTTTTATTATGTCAATGCTGTTCGATCAGTTAAAATCTAGAGATTTTAAATACATAAATTCTATTCAATAAATTTAAATAACGCGAAGAAGCCGACAGAATTTTTATAATTTTTTTTATGTACTAATAATTTTAAGCTTCAAATAATTAAACAATATTTAAGATAATAAATTATATGAAAAATTTTTCTGTCTAAAGAATTTAGCACGGTGAAAGTGCTACAGATGATCGAGTTCGAAGGAAACGGAGAGGAAGAACGACCTTGTCTTCACAATGATGTTTTGTTCGGTTTTTGCGATGATTATGGTCGATCGTGTCGAAGGAAAGCTTCATTTCGAGTAGCAGCTAGTATCTGAGGTAGCCGACAAGATCAGACACTCAATTCACCATGAAGACTTCTCCAGAAAGCGAATTGATCAGCGAAGCAAAAAGACCGAAGAATGAAGAAGAAAAAACGACGAACAAAGAACCAAATAAACTGAAATTTTATACATAAAATACTACTTATCATTTTCATGTTGCTTCTTCTGTTATTCTTTAATTTTTTTTATATAATAAAATTAAAATAAAATATTTTTTTTATATAAGTTCATACCGATAAGAGTGTGAGTGATAAAATAATAAACACAGAAATAATAGACCTTTATTTCTTTCTTAAAGAAGAAAAATATTTTCTCTTCTAAAAAGTTTATTTGGTTAAAATTAATTTAATCAATTTTTATGATCAAACAACTCCGAAATTCTCTAGATTCGCATTTAAATATAATATTTCGTGAAATATTACTTCAACAAAGATACTGTCAGATTAAACGAGCAACCGATTAGACGAGCAATTAATAGAGCAACGTTGAAGCGAGGAATGTTCGCTTCGCGTTGCAGGAAGACTGCAATGTGGACGAAATATCGAAAGGAGGATCTGTAAAAGTTTTTGCGCGAAGTTGCTGAACGAACGATAGAAAAAAATACGCGAAGCGAAGATAATTGAAAGATAGTAAGGATCAGGATTCTCCTGGCGTACTGTCGGTCTAATAAATATAATTATATTGTCGGTGCGCGAAGAAGCGAATGAGAAACAAATACGACGTAAAAATATATAGTGGGCGATCGTTAGTCGTCTCCGTGCAAAAGAAATTACACTGCAGTTTATCCTTAGTTTCCTTTCTAAGCCGTTTAATATTTATGATCCTTAAACTGCAGATGTGTAAGTTCGCGTATACCTGAGTGCCTACCTCGTCTTTATTTCATGAGAATATTTAAGCTTCCTTATTTTTACAAACACGCACGTTTCCGCGGAAGGCGCTTTTATGATTACGAAGAGATTTAACTTGCAATAATCTTCGCGTAAAGATCGCGTTTTCGCAAAGTACGAAAATATTTTTCAAGCATTGGTTTCAAGAAAAAAGAGATGCTCTTCTCGGACGTTACAAAAACATCCTGAGCTTTCATACGTGCGGCTGAAATACGTTTGCTCTTCAATCAGCAATGCCCAGGTGGGAGAGAGAATATAAAAGAATATGAACATACAGTTCTTATGTAATAACGACTAACGTAAAAGGGAAAATTCCGCGTTCGAATATTCTGATATACTTCCGTAACCGTCAAAGAAATGTACTTCTAATAGAAAGTACTTTGACGTAATTCTCACACACGGGTATTTCGCGGAAAAGGAAAGTATTTTTCACAAGTCGTCCCGACGTACTTCACAAGGATAATCGAGTTCCCTTATGTCGTCGCGACGACTCGTATCTTCAAAGAGCGAACAGATCCCGGCAGAATCTCGATACGATTTGTTGAGAGTTGACATATCATGTTACCTTATCATTTCATCGCGGACAGCGAGAACACTGTTTTAAAAGCAATTTTCAAGTTTCGTAGAAAATTACAGTTAAAACAAGCAGCTCATATACATGGCACGCATTCTATAAATCAGATTCTCTTTCGCGGAAAGTTTCCCCGAATACGTTTCGTATAAACAGACGTCGACTGACAGACATTATCCCCTCGCGGGAGGGGAGTACAAAGTTCACTTTTCGTAAAGTTTCACGGAACTTCAGCTGTGGGAGTGCCAGCTATATTTTCTCCGTGAGCTTCCGGAGTAGCTATAAAGTAAACTATTGGCAACGTAATTTGTAACACGACTTTCGTTCGTTCTCATCGTAGTTCGGCGCGATATTGTGCTCGCATAAAGCATTATTAGCATCGCTGACTGCATGGATACTTCAATAATTTTGCAGCACCGCCTTTCACGACGAAGAAGATCCGTTTTCTCCGTCACGAGAAATAATGACGTGTGCTACAAAGGAGAGTTTTCCAGGACACTAGCGAAGCCGATGACATTTCGTGGGAAAAAATATGTCAATATTGTCATATATGAAAGAAAGGAATGGCAATAGCAATTGTAAAAAAATCAATACGCGTAAAAAAAAATAATTTGTCTGTAAGAAAATAGATCTTTTCTTCTGACTGTGAGAAAAAATTCATTTTCTCGCGGATATGCATGACTAAAAAAATCTCTTAAAATTGTAGATATTAGAAAGTTTTTTCTATTGAGAATTTATTAACTCAAAAGTTATTTTCAATTATACGCACGTGCACAATACGAAATTCTATTAATATTAATGAAAGTGCACCTTTGTGAAACTTTTAAGTCTTAAAGAGACGAGTCTTAAAGAGTCGCAAGAGACGAATTCATTAACATCGTTGAACCAGAAGTTTACCTCATGATCACGATAATAAGGGTCGCGGAGTTTTTCTGGCACTCGATTGTTGTATGCCTTCGACAGGAGCCATTTTACGGAGGCACGTTGTTTGGCCTGAAACAAAAAGAAGAAAGAATAGAAAATACAAGAGGAAATATATTTGACATATCGGTTTAATAATAAGATTGATAGTTTAACTAATTTTCTGATCAAGTTGTTGTTTCTTTATTCTCTTCAGTAGTAATCAATGTATATTTTTTATAATATTACAGACATACTTGACATTAAAATTAAAGGGCCATTTAATTTTTTAAATTAAGCGTTTAAAAAAAATTTAAATTTTCAGAAAATCTCAAGCAAAGTTGAAAACAATTCTTTTTCAACTTCGTGCATAATTTCAATATTAAAATCTTTTTGTCAATTTTGCACGACTTGGAGATGGCGTCACTTGAAGCAGAGTTTCGAGAAAAAAGTTTAACGAAATTTAAAAGCAGAGATTTTAGGCTTTAAAATTCTCGCAAATCGCTATACGATTATTTTATTCGTTGCAAAATTATATAAATTTACATTTTTGCCATTGATTCGAAGTCGATTTAAAAGTCCGTACATTTGAGAAGTGTATATTCATAAATTATAAGTGGCGATCGGTTATCGATCACGACCGTATCTTCGCACCCCATTCTCGCTTCCATTCGCACCCGTGCCTTTCACCCAGCAATAAGATAAGCCGCTTCACGAGTTGCCACTCGAGTTGGTTCTCGACATCCCGGATTGTAAGCCGAGGGACTACAAAGTAATCCGATTTCTTTTTTTAGAAAAAGATAGTTCTTTGGAAAAATTTCTATTGTACGAATTCTATAAGATATCAATTATCGAGAAGATTTCAGTTTAAATATCAGTGAAATAAATCAGCAGAGAGACTCATTTCCAAGGTCGATATCTTCTATCTGAACTACTAGTCCCATCTGGATGAACTTCTAGTCCCATAAATTCTTATCATTCTTTTATTAAAGAGATTTTCGCTTTATAAGGGCCTGCTTTCATATATTATAGTCTTCATAAATTCGTGGTATCGCGAAGGCTAATTTAATTACATCCACTGAACAGTAGATTCTTCAGTTTAAAGACCGTTAACGTTGAAAGTTCTAATCCGTAGAGATTAAAAAATTTTTAATATAGATCCTTGATATAAATTCTTAAATATGCACGTACATTTCTCATTATTTGCAGCTTATATCGGGCTTCTTTAGTTCGAATCATCTCTATCTTTATTCTTCTAACACAAACCCTATTTCCCTCTTTCTCTATAATTACTAAAGATTTATGTTGTTTCGCAAAAGTGCTTCTCTCTCCATTTAATTAATTCGACAACAGATCGTTAGAGCAAGAAATTACTAGTGTCATACTGTAATGGGACGAAGTTGAAGTTGAAGTCCTATCGTTCGTATTTATAATCACGCGGAATGCACCGAGCTGCCGCATTACTTCGCTCAGACACGTGAAAAAAAGTATGCCGTATACATCATTGTGAAATCTACATTATTCTTATCTCACCGTGTTTTCAGATTTCACATTGATTTTGTCGATCTCGCTGGCTCGAGACTTAATTATCTCCCTCGCGTGTGTTTTACTTCCCATAATATACGCTTCGATGAGAAGGAAAGCCAAAAATGGTACTAATATTTCCGACTTCTAAAAGACTTTTATAGAACTTTCACGTCACGTCAGCATCGAGCTTGAAATTTCAGGCGAGTTACATCTCTTCTACTCAAAATTGACTTTCAGATCGCAATTTGCAACAACAATAACTTAAAGAGAAATATTTACTTTAAAATTGCTTGCCGGATTTCATATTCATTTGAGCGGTGACTTCCGTCTTGTCGCTATGAGTTTTTCTAAAAGGGTACTTTACACAGGGACAAGTGTCGAAAATAGAACAGTCAAAGTCAACGCGGTCGTGCCACGGGTCGTGGCGTGTCCCGCGCGAGCTTCTAAATTCCTCGCGGGGAACTTTCCTGGACGGGCGGCAACCTGGCACGCGAAATTGCACGCCTAATCAATTTGTCGAGTGGCACCGAACGGGAACGAAAGAAAGAGGGAGGAAGAGAGCGAAACCTGGAGGGCTAGGGAGGATGGGAGTGGCCGTCGTATGAGGTCATGTCGTGTGTTACGAAGATTAAAGTGGCACGAGGAAGTTTCCAACGCTCTCCTCTGTAAAAAAAAAAACGCGCTTCGCTGCGGTAATCATTCACCACGGCCAGATTGATAACGTCGACGACGGTGTACATTGGGGATCTCATTCAAGTTTTAGCGTCGCAAAATGCTTCCCAACTAGGTTTTACTTGTTTCAATTCTCTTTCCCGTATTAACTTAACAAGTGATTTTTCAACATTAAAAAAACGTAAACGTGTTTTTAATTAATTTTACCGCTTGACGGGATTTGGTAATAAATGAAGGAAATTCTGCAATGTGACGTTTCACAGATCAGAGAGAGAAAGAGTAGAAATAACAGGAAAATAAGAAGATATTGAAAAGTCGATAATAAATGATACAATTCTGAAAGTATAATATCTGCAAACGTCAGCAAAAATCTATTCTTTAGTTTTTAATTCTTATAATAAGTACAGGATTCTTGTTGCATAATTTTATATGTAATTATTGAAATGCATTTTTGTTGCGTCTGTGTCTTAAAATAAATGTCACGTGAAAAAATGGCCCACCACATAAGATAAAAATTATCACTAATATTCGCCATGCGACTGCAACTCGCGACTGCATGACATGCTGTACCGATCTGCTTTAATAAAAAAGTGGCAGGTTACCGTACCGGGGCATCGATTATCGGTTTGCTACCTGGGTAACAATGTTATCTTAACGTATTATCTACAGTCCACATGGGAGCGGTTCGTTGCCATGTAACAGTCCCGCGGAAAATGTTTAACTATCAATTTTCATGTGCAACGAGCTGCGTTTCTGACGTCAATCGCGCCGAAAAGATGTCACGGCGTCGCGACGGCTAGAGTTCCCCGAGCCATGAAATTGAAATAAGGGAATGATTGCGATGATTTTATATCCGGCTAGAGCGAGGACGATGCGATCCAAGCACAAATATGATTTCCACGAAACGTATCTAAATTTCGACATAAAACGGCTTCACTTTTACAAATATACAAATAGGAAAATAAAAACGACTTATAAAAAATAAAAAAAGTAGTAATAGAGACAAACAAAATAATATATAAAAAAACAATTTAAAAATGAAATAACAAGAAAAAGTTATTTCCTTGGAATTTACAACCACGTAGCTTGTTATTTTTATAAACACTTGTTAATTTTTTTACGTCGGGTCTGTTATCAACACAAAGTACGTTATATTCCTTATACAACTAATTAAAAAATATACATAAATCATTCGTCAAAGAAATAAAAATAAAAAAATTTCTTGTTTATTTTGCTGCGAATTAAATAAAACTAAATCTTTAATTAATTCCCTGTCATTATTTATTTTATTAAACGATAGTATAAGATGTTATTTAACGGAATTCAATTTTTGTTACATAATCCTATCGAATAATAGTCGATTGATTGATCAATTGGAATAATGACCCGTATAATCCCTTGTAGATCAACACCGCGAAGATTATTCCGTTCTTTGTCTATCTCCGCGATCGTTTGATTGAATCGCAGTATATAATTACATGCTATTAACATGCCTTCCATTTAGTATCATGAGCGTAAATTGCGAAGAGACAAAGAGATCAGCTCGAAATCGATATCGTCATGATCGGCAAATCCTCTGGCAAAATCGTAAAGCCTCACATTTCTATCACGTTTACTGCGTTGCATTTACTCCTTATTACGAGTGTAACCTGATTAAATGTTGCATGTAATGCAAATATACGAGGTGTCTGGCAAAACTATTTCAATTGGTGTAGAGATTATCCAACAAAAAAATTAGTTTAATCTAAATTTAAAAAAAATTTTTCTACGCACTCGAGATTACCTTTATCTCTTCTTTACTACAATTTTCTAGAAAAAGAGAAACATTAAAATTTACTTATAAAATTAATAAAAATTAATTAAGTTTCCTTATTTATTCGTGTTCTCGAAAAATTAATTCGCGCTTTACAAATTCCTCGTGACTCGGAAACTATTAATCTTCCTCTCTTTCTCTCTCTCTCTCTCTCTCGATTTTTATTAATAATAGATCCGACTCCAGATTGGTGAAAAAGATCTTGAATGCTCAAAGTGCCGTCTCTTCAGGGCCACCCTGTATACGCTTCGCGTATGTAAACTAGCACACGTGTCTGGCAGGAACCGACTCACCGAAGCAACGCACGCACGCACGTGCGCGTGCATGACGTTTACGTTCGTCTATAAAAAGCAGCCGTGTCATCGCTAACAACTGGTTGTGATGACACGACACGGAGTACTGCGCTACGTACACAGGCGGCGATTCAAGAGATTCGATCGATCCGATTAACCGTAAGGGTGGGGGAGACGACGGTCTCGGATCGGTGATCCACGACCATCAGCCGCGTCATCGATCTTTATTAGCTCCGTTCGAGATCCCGTCGTCCCGGCTGCATTCGACCGCGATCCAGATCATTGTTCCAAGACAAAAACCGCGAGTAAGACAGCCGCGAAAACGTCAGCTTTCATTTATGTAAATGACTCACGTTGCAAAGCTCCACCCCGACTGTTTAAATCCTCCGAGAGAAACAGAAATAATTATATTAAACAATAACTTTCAAGTCAGACTTGTACTACAATTACATTTTCGTTGTGCTATCTATGCAATCTATCAGTTCAGCGAGGCTAAAAAATTTAACATCTTCTCTTGATTTTAAGATTTAATTTTTAACAAGATGTAAATAAAGTGGTAGCAATTATTTTTAATTGCTGATATTATTCGATAATACTCTACAAAACAGATGTAAAAGTTTTATATATATATATGAAATAAAAATATAGCAACCGCTTTTGGAAGACGAGCGAGAACGGTAGAGACGATACTGTTGATCGAGAAGATAATAATCGTCGTGCAAAGATAATGCACAGTCTAATAATCAGGCAGCAGGAAGTTTAAGCTTTGTTGGCTAAGTATTTCAGTA